TCTATCTCTCTCTCTCTCTCTCTCTCCTCTCTCTTTCACATGGAAATGGTGTCTTTTGCTGCGGGCATGCATTTAGCGTCTTTATCAGTCTGTAATGCGTGTTCCAGTGGCAAAACCTTTGACAGTAAAAGCCGCATCAGATGAAGACGTATTTACTTTAAAATGTCAAGGTGGGAAACAAAAGGCTGCGTCTGCTTTTAACGAATCTTCAAGCCATGGTCTGTTGTTGTACCATGCAGCGGCAAAAGTGCGCTTCTTTCCTGAAAACAATCTCCCTGGAAAACGATCCAGTTTCACCTGGTTGGGTTTATTAACCCCAAGATCATCTGGGGCTGTTGGTCTTTGAGCGGTTGCTGGCCCAATAGTACCTGTTGATGTGCTGCAAGGTAGCGTCTGTAGCGGAGGCACCGGCACGGAGCAGGAGGAGGATGCTGGCGGGTGTGGTACAGGGTGGCAACGCAGGTGGTGATGGTAGGGGCACAAGGAGCTGTGCCTCGGAGGAAAGCGTTGGTGGCGGCCGCCTTGATGAGTCAAGGCTTGGGCTCGCTAACTCAGCCCCGGGGTTTGCCGAGGTCAAGCTTGTGACATTAAGGCGTGCTGCTGCAACGGCAGGTGCAGGGTCGCCAGCAGCTGCATCGGCTGCAGTTCTTTCATCGCTATTTTGTTTTGAATAAATCCTTAGACCTTTTGAGCCAATTTCTGATGTCCATTTTGTAATTCAAACAGAAATGGGAGTCTACTGAATGCACAATAAACAAATCCAGAATAGGCGGCAGAGTGTGATGCTGTGATTGGTCTAAATGTGGACGAATCACAAATCACAACAGACACATGAATTTATTTGACGTAGCCTGCGATTTTTTTGTTTTAGTTACTATCTGACATCACATACATCGTAGCATATAAGTTAACATAACATTTAATTTTTTTTTTTTTTAATTTATAAATAATAAAAATCGTGTTTATTGGGGGAGGGCAAGACTGTCAAATGGGAGGGCCTGGCGTACGGACCTCGGCGCAAGCGCCTCGGTCCTGCCGCAGTACTGTCGCACCAATAATGACGTTCAAGAACGGCCTCTCGTGTATGATTGCTTAATTCGAATACATGAATAATTATTCGAATACCTGAATAATTTGGAATATTCGATTAATCGTTCCCATCCCTACCGGGGACACATATTTATGTATAAAATACATCACAAAGTGCATTTTGCATGATAAAATAAAATTTAAAATTTAAAATAAGAAGCAGCATTTTACGGCGCGCTATGCATGGGGCCGCCTTGAGAGGGTTTCCCGACATGTCGTTGCAGTCAATTAAAGGGTGTTTCATGTTGTCAATAGCCTTAATTTTCGCTAAATTGATTTATCAACTTTTAATACTTTTTAAGACCCCGCGGACACCCTGTTCATGTCCAAGCAAAAGTTCCACATTTTGAAGATTACAGAACAGCTCCCAGTACTAGAGATTTAAAACAACACAAGGAACCTTTGTGTTAGCATAACTACACTGACTAGCTGAAGCAGCTAGCTTGGCTAAATGTAAAATATTCTGCCCAGCATCTCTAAATGTCACTAATATCATATCTTGTTTGTATAACTTGTATACTAAGTGTTGACACAAGTTGTGTTTCTTTTGGGATTGTGTGTGTTGTGTTGGCACCAAGAGAAATCTCCAGAAAGTAGCCAGCTCCACTGCCATAACTCTTTATGCTAAGCTAAGCTAACTAGCAGTAACTTTATATGTATTCTTTAGACTAGAGAGTATTCATCTTCTCTTCTCATACAGAATTAATAATGTTTAGGTTAGTATTGCTGCTATTATTTCCATTACTGTAGGCCTGTGTATACACAATAAAACCATAGCATTATAAAACATAAAAGTCAGATTAATAAAATGCTTTTTAGTCAAAGTCAAAGTCAACTTTGTTGTCAATTTTCTGTGACAGGGAGATCGAAAATGCTGTTTCTCATAATCCAGAGGTATACAAATTAAAATATTAAAAATATATATATGTGTAGGGCTATATACATACATGAACTTGTGTAAAACGACTTGACCATAGCAGCGTAGTTTAAGTGTCTGGATAAATACAAAGTCTGTGGTGCTGGATGTGTATGTGGGGGGAAAGGTGGGAGGGAGGGGAGAGAGTTTAGCATCCTGACAGCTTGGTGTAAAAAGCTGATTTTTAGTCTGGTTTAAGCTTGCTTTTGACAATTAAAAATGAAAGTGTCTCAGATAATCTGGGATGATGTTCCAGCAGCTAGGAGAGTACAGCATCATGTCCAGATGTTTCAGTGCTGTGTGAATGGTGACAGAGTGAATGAGTTAATATGAGTGCAGCAGCAGGAGGAACTCACTGGTGTGTTTCATGGCGGACCCCATGACCAGGAAGGACACGGTGACGCTGATGGCTACGAACACCTGGATGAGCTCAGCCACCCAGGAGTACGCCTTGTAGCGCTCATTGATGATCTACATGTTGAAAATTGAAAATGAAGACACAAAAAGGAAGAAAAAGAGAGGCATCTGTACATTTAAAAGGACACATTTGTTATTGGTAAAACATTTACCCCCTCTGTTTAAGACTTAAGAGCAGGTCAATTATTTAAACTCCTTTTTATTTCTTTACCTGTGAAAGATCGAGATCAAATGTTTTTAAGATGAGATATTTTTATTATTTGTAAGGCTATTATTGTGTTGTAGTTGTAATACTTATTTCAGCCACAAGAGGCTGAAGTGAACCAGATCCACATGTTCCAAACAGGAAATAAAGCATTGTTCAGGTGACTTTAGGGAATTACAGTAATTTCACATAACCTTCTAAGAAGAAAGACACATTTTTTCACTTAGAGCAATGCATTCTGGCAAAGCTGTTAATCCCACTGTATCACAGACGATTATTTTTAAAATAATTTAAAAAGATTATTCTGCCAAACTTTTCCAAGAGAAACATTTAAATTGTTTGTCTATCAAGGATTCTGTATTTTAGAATGTGGAAATAAGTTGTATAGATACAGATGTGTATTTTTAGCTCAGACACCTGTTGTGTCACACTCCACGATCAAGTCCTCACCAATTTGCTTTAATGTCAACCTGCTCTCCAGTTTCATAGAGTTCCATTTCCTGCACAGACACAGTCAACTTGGGTTTCATTATAATTAGTAGCAGTGAGTCAGTGGTTCCTGCAGTTTCCTCTGCTAGTTATCCTGAGAAGATCTTCACCTGCTACTTTTCATTCTCTGAGTTAAATTCTCTTGAATGGCTCTGTGTCCTCTGACGACCAATTAGTTTGTCAGCCAGCCTCTGCAGCTAATTGCTGCGTGTTTCCATTAGCTGCTGTTAGCTGGTTAGACACACTGTTTCCTGTGTAATTGGATCCAAACAGAATGAGCAAATGTTGCTACCGTGTGATTTTCCAACAAAACCATTATCTATCTGTGCATGTGTCTGTGAGAGCATGTAAAGGCCTTTAGCACACATACAAAGGAAACTGCATCATGGCTTCTTAATGAGTACTTGCAGTGTTACAGAAAACTAAGACAAGGAAAGAAAGGGTCAACAAAGATAAAGGAGATTACCATTAGCTACTATTGGTAATGTGTTATTGTATAATAGGGGTGTTGAAAATAATCGTTTCTACGATGCATTGCGATGCGGACGTGGACGATTCGGTCTCGATGCAGTGACGGAAGATAATCGGTTATAGCGTAGTAACGTTGCTTCCTGATTTTCCGGCCGCGGCTTTACTATAACGTTTTTTTTTTCTGTCACTTTAATATCAAATCGGTCGGTGACGCAGAGATCAGGGAACAGACGTGACAGCGGCACAGCAACACAGCAACACCAAACACAGAGCAGTCTGCTTTATCCACCAACACAACACCACCAGTCCAGAACCAACAGCAGAAGAACCCGCTCTGAATCACTCCGTGTCGCTGCGGCACAGGGATTTATGTTTTTCAAAAATAATCGCGTTACAATCATGTCAGGTTTTTGGTGGATTTAATTAAGTCTTGGATTGCAGAGTAGGAATGTCCTCTAGCAATTTTCAGACGATATATACGTGTGTAAAGTTTGTGAAGGCAGCAGGAAAAAAGCTTCCGCGATCACCGTCTCCTCTGTTCCTCTAAGCCCCGCCCCCCTGAACATAATGAGTGACAGGCTGATAGTGACCCGATAGAAACTTTATTATTCACTTAATCACTGAGATATAATGAAGCTAACTTAATCTCATACATTCATGGGATTTATGTAACAGTAAGACAGAGCATGTAAGTGTGCACCCACATGCAGTATTTTAGTTGTTATATGCTGTTGTAAATACTCCTGTTGTCTGCTGTGTTCAGACTCAAGTCCTGTGTGTGATGCCACATTCAGGACATTCAGGACATTCAGTGTCCTTTTTTTAACAGAAGACTGTTGCTAGAAGCTGCAGCTAGACTGCAGAAGCATTAGTTTTTTGTTTTTGAGGATGGAACAACTTCACACACAGATATAGGGAGGCTAGACCTATACAATTCATTTATTTTGGTTTATAAATGAATGTCAAGACATTTATGTTATTGATTTCTGAAGCACTTTCTAAATAATAAAAAGAGAGTTCATATGTATTTACTGCACGTATGCATTGATGAACAATAAGCCATGTGCAGTAATATAGAAAATTGAGGATGCAACGCATTGGTATGAATCGTGATGCATCGGGATGCATCGGGATATCGAATTGAATCGAATCGTTGACAGGATAATCGTAATCGAATCGAATCGTGAGACCAGTGAAGATGCACAGCCCTATTGTATAATGCTGTTTAGAAGGTTTATGAGAAGATTTCAGTTATTCTCAAAGTGGGGCTACTCTGCCAGACTATGCCGATCATTTTCTAAAAATAATAAAATAGTTGTTAAGTACAAAAATGCATATCTACTGAGGAGGAATATATTTGTATGCCCATACAAAACAAGCATATTGGGTCAATTTCCTCCGTCCATGTAAGCTTTGGGCTAATATACACTGACATATTGGTCACATCACTAAGGGCCCCTACTGCTAGCTAGGAAGGCGAGCATGAAGATTATTTGAGTCCTCCTTTATCGTCAAGGGATGGTAAACCCAAATGATCTTAATCCAGACAATATAAAGAAGGTTATTCAGTCAGCCAGACACATCTGATAGCAAAGCACTCGGAACATTAGGGTAAGACAAAGTAGTGCTAACCTGATTCAAACTGAAATGGGCTTCTTTGTATGACCATGGAACAGGGTTGTATTTAGGTTGAAACATTTAGATATACAAATAGTCCCAATGGCTGTCCAATTATACAAATGGTCGGGAAGATATGCTGAATCTGTTTTGTAATTTTCCCCCTTGTGTTGCTGGTCCCAAAAGTTTAAAAACACTCTGATTCCTTAGCAGGAGTGATATGTTTGATTACACTACACTGTGACTTTGACTTGCAATCCTACTTAAAGGCTTCAGTAGCTTTAAGAAGCTGAATTTTTACGAAACAAACTCAACACATTTCAGATCAGACATCAGCGCTGTGAGTGGTTAATCTTCACTGACTCTGACGACATCAACGTCTTCAGAACCAACAGATTCTGAGAGGATAATAACACGGGCGGTCTTTACCAGGATCATCTCTAAACATATATCTGTAAGCATCAATATCGGAAGTGTTCTGGTTTACATTTGTAATTCAATATTATTCAATAATTAATTAAATATATTTGTATTTTTGTTTATGTCAAGTAATTGCACTGTTCCTCAACAGTTGAGGAACCTGCTATCTAAGTTTGTCATACATTACATAATTACACTGTTTGTATGTTGTGACAATAAACCTATGAATCTTGAAAACTCCCAACAATTATATAATTTATTGAATGAATTAAATTGATCAATCACGCTGAGCAGGTTTTGGTTGGATAAAGGTAAACAGTCCGTGAGGAGGGCAAAAAGGCAAGACACATTGTCAGAAAGGCCATCTATGAACCCATTGGCTGCAGAAATACAACAATTGAACGTTCTTTTAGCCTAAAATGTAACCCATCAACTGAGTTCAAACTGAATACTTCTATAACTATCTGGTCATCAACAACGTCTCTCAACTCGAACCCCATTATCATGTCCCAATTTTCGAATCAAACGGTTTGCTGGCCTTACTGCAACCATAGAAATTATTGTTTGTAAAACTGTTACGAGGCCGACTCATATCAGCGATGAACTGTTTTCAAGTAGGCTCCATGAGAAAGTTTAGGAAGTAAACAGCAATTACAGAAGAGGCTGGGGGTGGAAGAAAGTAAATCAATTGACGTCTCCCACCCACCACGGGGTGGTATATGGACTTAGTGATAGTAATTATTATATTGCTAATACAACATACACACAGTGTGATTTAAATGTCTCCCTCCCTGATGATGCACTTCTCTCAGGATCCGTGCTGATTGGGACATTTAAAAACAGAAACACTGTGATTGCGTCTAACAAGACAGTTCATCACAGCCGAGTGCTGCTCCAACACATTCAGGGAAATCTGAGGCTTCATCCAACCCTTAAAGTCCCATTACGTACAAAATAGATGGCAGGCATTATGTAAATCACTTCAGAAAGTACTCACACACACACACACACACACACGCACGCACGCACACACACACAACACACACCACACACACAACACACACACACACACACACACACCACACACACACACAACACACACACACACACACACACACACACACACACACCACACACACACACACACACACACACACACACACACACACACACACACACACACCACACACACACACCACACATAAAGAGTGAGCAGTCTCACCTTAGTCAGGGGGATGGTGGCTATCTCTCCTGCTCTCTCCGACCTGAGGGACAACACATACAGAGTCAGATGATCTGTAACATGTTCAGGGTTATATAAATGTTTTACCACCATTATCAACTTGTGCTGATGTGACTTTGAGCAACAAAAATCTCTACATACACAACAGTTTTATTTTAATAAGGTCTTATTACTTTATTTATGTCACTTAGTTATGTTAAACTGCTGCTACTCACTTGTTTTAGCCATGGTTGTGGTCTTTATTTTTGAAATGTTTGATTCTAATGTGTGCTTTTCTTTTTTATCATTGTTTACCTGCTATGCCACTTTTGCTGTAGCACCATAACCCTCCTGCTGTGGGACTTGTAAAGGATTTCTGATTCTGACCCTCTAGGGAAAACCTGATGTCCACCAGCTGTAACTGTAAATGTGTCACATTTGTAATATGTTAAATATTTAACTGTACTGTTGTATTTCTATTTTGAGAAAATATTTATCTTTGTTTTTTAATTTGTGATAAGAGTACTTCAAATATTTTACTTTTTTCGTTTTTTGCTCCGTTTCTAGAACTTATTCTACATGGCAATAAACCCAATTCTGATTCTGATCTATTCATGGTCTAAAGAGTCAATTCAAACAAGAAATGTAAATAACAATACATATTTTTTGGAAATGCATGTTGTTTTTCATTTAATACATTGTGTGTAAGTTGTGGTAAACACCAGCTTGCTTTACATTTCACATGAGGAGTGTTCAGGGCTTTTACTAATGAATTCATTCTTAGGACACCTTTACATCCAAATATATCACCAAGAAATTCAAAAGAATGCTGCTTTATTCTATCCGCTACTGTTATGTAGTTATTAAGAGTTGGTTAAAGGAGATACTACCGAGTACGATGCTCTGACATCTTAATGGACCCAGGCTATTGAAAGAGTCACTATTGTGTGTGACTTTATGTTGTGCTTTGTATGTTGAGTGTTGCTTTATTTGCCAGTGTATTTGCTAGCACTCCAACACATTGAATATGAAATGCTACGGGGGGAGCGATTGACCAATCACCACAGAGCCGGCCAGCTAACCAATCAGAGCAGACTGGGCTCTGGTTTCAGACAGAGGGTGAAAAGAGGTGCTGCAGTATGAATGAGCATCATATGTATAATGGACAATAACTAGTCAGATCTGTTAAGCAGTAGTAGGGGTCAATTTGTCCATCAGAACATTGGATACAAATGTAGTGATTAGTGACATATTTAGCATGTGTTACATGTTTTAACCCTAAGAAGATACCAAAGGTAAATGCTGTTAGGTATGTCCCTTACATCCGTTGTTCATTGATGAAGTTCAAGTTCATAACTTAAGGAGCTTACTCCATTACATCCTACCTTATATATGAGGGTAGGGTGTTGTTTGTCAATCACTTTTTCAATGGAAATGCTCATATGGCTATAGGTTGGAGACTATGAGAGAGTAGTGTTTTTGAGTGACTTGAGGGACAGTTACAAGTCGTTGTTTATGCAATGTTACTAGTTGAAGTTTAACTAATTAAAGTTTAACTTAAGTTTAACTAGTAACACCACATAAACAGCACAAAACATGTGTGCTCAGATGACGTTTTTATACTAAATTCTTCTGTTTTACCTTTACTCGTATAATAGTAGTCATATTTCATAAAGGGTTGCCCTCTGTATAAATGAATCTCCATTAGGACTAAACAGAGCCTGGCTCTCTTTATCTGGCCAGCGCCCGGGCTGTTCTCCTGGGGAAATATTATTGTCCTAAATATGAAATGAGGCACAAATGGTTGTAAAACATGTGGCAGGGCTAAAGCTATGAATCAGTGTTTCCATTTTAAACTCTAATTTTGGCCATTTGTCTCCTGCTGTGGTAACGTGCTGTAGGTCTGTTTCCCTTTGCTTGCATTTGCAGCCCAACAAACAGAACTGGGAACTCTAGGACTAGTTTGTAACAATTACAATCATTTATGATTTTAGAAAACATGAATGAATGGACCAAACAGTGCTTCTTTGTACATGTAATCTAATCTAATATTATTGACATAAGTAAAGCGGTCATCCCCTAATCGTAGAGTTGGTATTCTGATCCCTGTTTTAAAGATTAGTAAGTGCTGTATGCAGTTCATTAAATACCAATGCCTAATAGATCTCAAGAGCTGGCATTCAACACAAGGCACAGCTATACACCTGCCAAGTGTGAAGTGGATTGGATAAACAGCACTCGATAAAATGGAAGGACACCTACAGACAGACTCCTTTTAGTTAAATATGCATGGCAACGGGCCGGGAAGTGTCCCACCTGGCTGTCCTGGGGCAAGGGGCTCCTTTGACTTCTGAGCAGAAGTGTTGTGCCTCGTGCCAAGCTGGCACACTGACACCTGTACTCATCTGAAGCCCTGAATGAAAGGCATGCTGCACCAGAGTCCTGCACGGGTCTGATTTTCAAGACCCGCTCCCGCGACGTGCAATACCGAACCCGCCCCGCTACCCGCACATATTGCCAATTAGTGCCGCAACCCAACCCGACCCGTCGGCACAAGATCCGCAACCCGACCCGAACCCGCATAGGCTATATATGAGCAGTGAAAACGTGCAATTATTAACACACGCAGTTTCATATTTGTCTCAAAAAGCGTGGGATGTTGGTTATTTTCTCCATCTAGGAATCAAAAGCCTCCCAGACGTTGGATTTCGCTCTTGAGGAAGTGTTATTGAAAATGCGGTATTCTCCGCTAGAGAGCTTCACCTCAGCCATTTCGAATGTGGCGCGCACAGCAGCAGATTGATGCGCTGCAGAGGTTATGATTATGCGCGGTCCCGCGGGGGAGAGGTCTGAGGATTTAAACATTAAACTAAATTATTATTATTTTAATATATTTATTATGCAACACCCGCGACCCGACCCGCATCATCTTTGCTTTACCCAGAACCGAACCGAAAAAAGCGTTTGAAAAAATACCACCCGCGAATCACTTTTTTTGTAAGAAAACCCGCGGGTACCCGACCCGATGCAGGACTCTGTGCTGCACCGCTGCTCATCCATCCCAATGAAGCAGGATAATGTCACAGCTCTCACAGGAGAGTGCTGTGTTTTCATCGTGTGACCTTGGTGCTGATGGTATAAAGTGTATTCTGCTGTCAAAAGTAGCTCACATGTATATTAAGATTGGATGCACTGTTCTCCAGCTCATACAGTTTATTGACTGATGTGGTCAAAGACACTTCCCATAAAGTCTTTTTTCTGGTTCTAAATTGTGTAAATAATTATATGAAACGTTCTCTAGGTCTGTACATTTACATTGATAATAGTCCTCTGGGTTATTGCAGCACATGCCCCCCCCCCCCCCCCTCACCCGTGTGTAAGTAAGTGAAGTAGATACTGGGGCGTTTTTTTTTTTTCAAAGGCCTCGGTTTGATCCACTGCGGATGGGATTGTGACTCATCCCTATGTGCGTTTGAACAAAAGCGTCTGCCAAAGGAACCATTACAGAAACACACTCAAATCTACTGTATAGGCATAACTGATAGACCATCAACTATGGTCCCCATTTTTATTTTGGTATGATTTATTTCAGACTGAAATCACACCATTACAGAGTGTGGCAGTGATGATGTATTTTTGTTGGCAGACCTGGAAGTTATCACAACAAAGGATCCCCAAAAGCAATGGGATTTCAGTATATTGCAGAAAATAAGATCTTTTCAAAAGACATATTTATGATAATTAACACGTTTGGTTCAACAGGGTTATCTCCACATATTAACACCACTCTAAGATTTTTGACGCATAAATGCCTTAGCCTATGAACAAATAACATCACTGTTGGATGTCTGGTTGTCTCCACCGCTGAGCTAAAGGCAAACATGTTTGGCATGATGACGTTTAGTAGTTTATAGCAACCGCTGTTTTTATGACACATAGAAGCTTTGAACATTTGCGAGTAGGGTGATTCCAGATGTATTTTATGTCATTGAAAAAACATGAATATATTTTAAACGTGTGTTAACCAAAGATCTTATTTCAGGCTACTAACTAGAAACCCCATGTTGGGTTCTAGGACTCATTCCTGCACTCTATTGCCTCTTTTGTTTTGTTCTGTAGTGCTGCATCACAGGGCACCATATGAATGATTCCGAATATCTATGACATTTATTTATTTATGTGTCTCCATTAATAATGCCTTATTATCTTTTCATTAACTTATTTAACTCCAAAATAACCTCCCCAATGTTTACCAAAAAAATCATTTTATTTTTAGTTTGCTTTGGTTGTGTTTTGTGTCTCTTAGTTATTGACTTTTATTTAAGAATTTAACTTGTATTACCCATATTAAAGTGGGCAATGGACGTTAAAGTAAATTGTATGGAAGATGCTAAACAAATCATTGCAATAAAGAATATAATATTATGTTTCCATTCCTTTTAAATGATTTAACTAATTTCACGTAAAGCTGAAACATTGTCATTGTCCCCTTTATTCTTACATTGCATAAAGTGCTTTTAGAGCAGCACATTGCTGCTCTAAAAGCTGCATCAGGTGAGGGGATAAACCCTCGGAGCTCCTTTTAAAGAATGATAGAGATCCACTGGGGGGCACTGTGGTTCTGTGGGGAGGAGAGCACCTGTCGCTGAGGTACTCTCAGCCATCTGGGTCACAGGAGCTCTGCTTTTTAAAGAGACGAACGATGAAAAGTGATGGGTATGGGCGGGAAGAATAACACAGAAATAAAAATTCATACCGAGCAATCAGAATGAAATACGGTTGTTCTGCAAATCAGTGGAATGAAGAAGGATTTAATGCAAAGGGAGGCCTGAGCCAGGGAGCCATTACCATTCAAAGATGCTTTGAAACAATTACACATTCAGTACAAGAGCTGCTAATTGTGCACATTCACACATTCTCTGCTGATCTATCATCACTGTCACCTTTTCCATGGCAACGGAATGGCACGCTGTACAATTCTGATGACAAAAAGTGAACTTATTATCAGAAATCTGGCACTGTTCTGTTATCGCCAAATGGGAGAGGACAATGAAACGGCACAAAAAGAGCTCCATGCCTGCCAAATTATTGAAGGGATGAGCTCATGTCTATGGATGGTATTTTACAATATGTCTTTCTATCTCACATAATGGAGGACATTTTGGGTTACATTCTTTTAATAGGACTTCACTATCCATATGTCCAGTTGCCGTGTTTTTGAATCTGAAATGTTTTTGACAGTTGCTATTTCCAAGGTCAAGAATGAAATAACAAACCTCAACATGCAGGAAACTATACATTTACAAATCTAAGCAGACTGCATCACTGTAACATGTAAAATAACTGTAAAATAACTATAGGGGCCCTATAATTATGCTCATTTTCAGGTTCATATTAATATATATTGCCTCTACTGTCTCCATGCTTTAATGTTCAAAAAGCTCTTCATTTTTCTCATACTGCCTGTGCTGCAGCACCTCTTTTCACCCTCTGTCTGAAACCAGAGCCCAGTCCGCTCTGATTGGTTATGTGGTTGGTCAACCGCTTACATCAATGTTCCCTTCCTTCTGATGTTGTTTGATTATTGTCTTAGTTGTAGTGTGTCAGCTGAATTATTGTTTTGTTTTCATATTTTCCACTTTCTTGTTATCCATTTTTGTATTAAACTATAAATTGCCTTAGGACGCCATTGAAAACTAGACAACAGTTTATCTATAGGGGCTTATCCCAAGCCCTGTGGAACCCCTAACCTCTGTGTCCGTCAGACTTTTTCCCATTGACTAACATTGGAAAAGAGCCGTCTGTAAATCGTTGATAATTTATTTTGAACTCAATAAACTACCAAGCATAAACCCATGTATATCTCTAGTTTAAATCAGTAGAATCCAGTTATTTGTATTCACTGTTGGTGTATACTAGGCAGTGGTGGCGTTAGACTTTGTCGTTGTCAGTCATTTTGACGGACAGGATCGTAACATTTCCGTCATAATCCATTATTACCCGTCGAGTCTGTACACAACTCGTCACTCACTTGCGCTGACGGGGGTATTCGGTTAACGCAACCACTGCTCCCATGCCCTGTTGTTGCCATTTTATTTTCTGTTAAATAAGGTTAGTTAGACCACGAGTTAGACCTAGGTCATACACTTGTATCTACCTCTGCTCATGTACACTATACTAAATGGACATTATGTGTGCAGTTGTTTTGCAAGGTCAAGAATAAACTGTCATCTTCAATGAAACTGAAGCAGTCGGCAATGAGTTTCAAAGGAGGATTTTCACCGATCTCAACCTGGAACTTTGTGACAGCCAATACCAACAAGTGTAATGCTGAAGACTGAAAGTAAATAATAGAGAAAACCCCTCATTCCTTCAAAGCTGCACAACCTAATACCAATGTCTTGGCTCGGTCCCAACATCATGTAAGGGCTCGTTCTCATCAGCCACAGAGTGACCTCTGCAGCATTTACTGCTTTATTTTGGTTCATTTGATCAGGTAATAGCAATGCCCTTTACTGCACTGCAACATTTACAGTAACATCTTGGCTTTCAATCAGTACTGTGGCGGGGTTCATTACAGTAAGTAAAAATGTCATCCAAACAGACTACCCGAAAAAACTATTATACAGAGATGGAGATGGATAAAGCAGTTATTTGCCTGAAGGAAAGACTCTAGACGAATGTTCATATAAATATCAATGTATTCTGACAAGAACATTTAGCAATTTCCCTTTGGATTTAATCAATCTATCTATTATATCAAAGATCACAGAGAGGGCCACCATGCTCTAGTCAAATCTGATTTTATAGACCCCAATAAGTTCAGACAGGCCACTTAGAAGTGATAAACCCTGGTTCATCTAAGGTCTGCGGAAACATAATTGAATCAAGAGTAAAATATGACGTGCTTGACGGATAATATGTTAAGCAGCAATAACTAACAGGCTACAGAAGTAGGTCTGTGACTAAATGATGGTTGGATCTAATGAAAGGCACAAAACAGAAGAAGAAATGACTTAGACTCACTCTTCCAGAGAGATGTTGGAGTGCAGTAGAGGGGTGCCGGGGTCTGGAGAGGTCCCAGCTGCCAGCCGCCTCTCTGGTGTCGACGTCTGAGGCACGATTTCCAGCACTGCCCAGCACCTGAACACACAGGCAGATTTGTAATCAAATTAATAACAACATTAATTTGAGCACTTATACATGTATTCATGTCACCCCATTGTCAAGGAAATCCAACACATTTAAAGAAATAAATGTCCTTCCATAATCAACTTTTTACAAATCAGCATATTTTCATCGCAACAGATAAAAAAAGACATACGTTGAATACATTCTTAGCACTTTTTAAGAATGTACCTGAGCTACAAACCAATATGGTCTTTGGGTATGTACAGTTTACAATAAAGCTGAGCATACAGAAGGGCTTTAATGGCTATTAGTTACTTTCTTGGTTTAAAGGACAGACATAAGGACTGCACAACACAGAATACCTTGTTTTATGGTATTATAATAAACAAATGATTTGATAAGAGCATGTTTTAGAATTACAGTGTGATGTCAAATCCCATTACAAAGGGCACATATAGCATGAATGGCTGAAGTATTAACGGCTGTTCTGTGGAGATACCATGAGCCAATGGAGCCAATGTAACCACATGCCATCCCATAACATCTACAAGATGTGGTGATGGATGATGCTCTTATTTCGACAAGACCTTCTTTAGATGAAAAAGTAGGATCAAATAATGTTTACAGAGCACAAAAACAAGGATAGAAAATGATGGGTAGATTTCTGATGTATGCACATTGACTGATGTCTTGTTGTAGGAAGTTGTCCTGCCCCTCACAAAGACCCCAGGACCTGCGCCGGGCCTCAAAACCAGTTTTCATAGTTGCCAAACTGTAACATTACAAATTGAGCATCCTTCATATGATCCCAATTGGTCCAAAAAAAAATCTTCCCGTATATTCACAATGGGAAAGAGAATTCTGTAAATCAACTTCTAAGTACGGACACTTAACTAACCCTTGATATATTATTTCCCACAAGCTATAAAATGCAATACAAGCCAGATCCAGAGTTATATTTCCTCGGCCTTATGAATTTTTCTGCATGCAGTCGTTGTGGTAGGAGGCGAGGTTTATGTCTCTATGGGCCCCGTGGATGTGTAAGATTAGTGTTATACCAGGCAGTAATATGGGGCCTTGCTTCCAACAACACTATATCAAGTTCTCTTTATACATCCATGGTCCAAAGACACCACACAAAAGCAGTTGTTTTTTGTGGAAAAGCTTCATAAAGCCATTGTAGACTGCATTCACAGCCTCAGACAAACAAAGTAAGAGACTATCATCAAAGTGGAGCATTTAACGGCTAAAGAGACAGATATATTTATTTCAGTTCAGACCAAAAATAGAGCTAAGAGACGAGAGTGCATTTTGGACTTTGTAACTCATTAGGACAGACACAAGATCAGAATGATTGCTTACTGTATGTTGCTCTATGTCTGCTAGATGTATACACAAGCAACTATAAGCTTACCTCTAACACAGGGATTTGCGACTGACCATTGACTGTACATGCACAATGACCTGGAAGACCCCCAAAAAGCATATTAGGGACTCTTTGAGTAAAGAATAAACAGCAAAATCATCTGGACTCACATTGAGCCACATGCAAAACGATATTCTCAACTCCTTAGCCACATGCTAAGCCCAATAATCCTTGGGGGCGCAGATAGGTATTCTAAAAACAAAAGCGGCGGATCTGTGAACCTGAGAATGAATCACAAGTTCTTTGTTTGAAAGCAAAGGCCATAAAGTTAGGCTGCAGGGAGAAAGAGAAAGCAAGTCATGGACAAGTACATTTTCTCATCTCTGCAGCACCGGCTGTTGGTCTCTTTGAATCGGCAGTGCAGCTCTGAGAGATTTATCCATTCATTTGTTGTGGCTACGCTCAAATGCACCCAACAACACACCATTTCTATTTTATTCTACTAGTCTTTCACTCTGCCGGGCGGCTCAACAGAATTATGCCCCCGGCGATAATTATCAATCAAAATTATGGTCTAAAAAATGGAGGCCGAGGAAATTGCTTACCAGGACGTCAAGCAGGAACAGGACCCCAAAAAGAAGTAGTGTGATAAGAGAGGGAGAGGATGAGGGAAAGTATGGCTGGAGAGAGGACATGCGTCCATGCAGTGTAAGCCGTGGTGGTTTCAGTCAACTTATTGTAACCTTGCCAACGTCACACCTTTTGAAGAACAAATCATGTCAATTCCAAGGCTTTACATAAATGTTCAGTTCTTTCATCATAGATTTGAGCTAATAGGTTATATACAATGTTCTAGACTCCTGGTAGTCTCCGAGAATTGAGCAATAGTGAAAAGATGTGTGGCAGAAAGACAGCGATAGGTCTTATTCATGAACACTTCCCTTGTTACTTTCCTCAAGGTGTGAGGCTACAATTTACCCATTTCTCATTCATGTCTATGAAATGAGGGTAAATACAAAGGTGACTCTGAAAAGCAGGTGCATCGTGAGCAATACGTTGGGATGTGTTCAGACACAGCACTGTGGGTTTTAATGCAATCACAGAACAACACAGAATCCCTCAGGTCATGTGTTTAAAACTAAAGGAAATAGACAACAAGCACAACAAATCCAACTCAAACTGTGATGATAGCTTATTTCAGTTACAGTCAACCAGCACAACAATGTACACCAAATACTTGATTTAAAGGGTGAACTGTTTATTTACTTTACAAGGTTTTAACCTGCAGGAGCCAAAGGCGTGCCGAGGGCTGAGGACTCTTTAATACTTGAAGGGTTAAGGTTAGTCAAAAGGGTTTCGTCAGTGTTTTTTGAATGTGTTCATCTTACTATTTTTTTAGAATAGGGTTGGATATAATTAGTACGACACAGTAAGCTGATAACTTTTTTTTTACCCACTTTTTGTAGAGGTTTAGAACTGACATTATTCAACACTTATTCCCTTGTCAAATGTCATCAAATTTGAACTGTTGCAAAATCACTGACTACATTCAATATGACACAATGGGCAAAAGCCACTTATCAGTACCATTAGAATGAAGGGATTTCAAGATGTCTAAACTTTTGCTGTTATAAATACTTCTCTCAGTCTGGGTAAAGTAATCTCACTTTGGTTCCAAGAGGACAAACATCTCAAAACCTCATCATAAGATGATCTGGCTGAGAGCAGTAGAAGCATACTTCGTAAAGGCTGACCACCATTTATTGAACACCACAATCCACCCACATGGATGACAAGTCACACTCATAAAGCCTTGTTAGAGTGTGAAATCCATCTAAAACAGAGCACTTAGGTGAAGGCTCATCTAACCATGCATCGATTCAACTAAAAGTAAAAGTGTAATTTGTTTTTTTTGCAGTGAGTGTGTTGACCTAAGGGCTCAGTATATGCGGTGAGAGAAAGTAAAGGCTGTTTACCGGGCACTGAAATAACTCTGAATTGTTATCATGAATCGATAAATGGGGCTCCCCTGTGAAAAAACCGGCCATTCTGGAGCATGGCCTCGCCACGGAACACTGCTTTCAGAATCCGGTGTGTAGGTTGGACACAAAAGGAAAAAAAGAGCAGCCTGAAGCTCATAAATCTCGGAGAAGTATCCCAGAGGAGAGAGACTTATTGTGTGGAGCTGCTGCGAGTTGTTTTGCCAGAAGCTGATCAGTAAAGTACAGCAAAGGTCAGATGCAGACAATTGTTGGGTCTAGCTCAGTGAAATTTGTCATCGTTGTGTATCTGGTGCAGCAGTGCAATGATATATTCCTTCTCGCGCTTGCCATTTTATATTTTAGGATTTTTTAAGATGATTTATTGGCCTATTTGCCTTTGTAAGACAGAAAGGGTGAGAGAATTGCAGCAAAGGGGCTTTGGCACAAAAAGAAACCCAGGCACTGGACTGTTAGGACTACATGGTACAACCTTTTAAAAATAAAACAAAATCACCATATTTTCAAAGGTAAATAGAATTTTCTAAATTGTCTACATTTTCTGAAAATAAACTAAATTCTGAAAAAATTACTCAATAAGAAAAATATTTTGTATCATTCTCAAAAACAATTTGTTTCCCTTGACAGCATGTTTTGTAAGGCTACCTGCCAACCTGAGTTACTCTTTCAGACTTCTCCAATACAAGGAGACAACCAATCTTACCTCTTAATCATTAGTAAATCAACTGTGGAGTGAAGTTAAAGTTGGCTTATTATTCTCTTTATCGCTCGCATGAAACTAGCTGTTTGCTCACTACTGTAGAAACAAACACGCACATATCAACAAATGATTAAATTATCAACACTAAAACGGTAGATGCAGACAGTTTATGAAATGTAAATGAATACTCCAGGAACATTCAAACTAATTTATATCCAAAAACATTCCCTCACAAAAAAAGAAAGCATATCAGCCTAATGTTGGCAGCCCACTGTAACACATGTGTTATGTTAATATGGCTGCTGTTTGGTATTGCTTAGCATCTGTACTGAAGAGAGAGAGATTTAAATACCATTGTAAAGAAATGCAATCTGATTCAAAACTCCACACCCCTGAAGCTTGTTTCTATGTCAACGGCAGGAAATATGTTTTATTGTTCTCCTCAAATGCTCCTGTCATACGCTCTGCTCTTCTACTGTAAACAAAACAAGCTTTCAAGAGATTGTAGATGTCTGTTTTGCCCGCTGCACATGGACTCTTGTGTTGATGGTTGTTATGCCAGTTGGCTGATGTTGTTACTCGCTCTCCTCAAACCTCTGCTGATGGTTTCAGGGCCTTTTTTCAAAGGTTTCTGCATGGTCCATCACTTATCAGCTTATAAAAGCAGAGTAACTGAATTTTATTGTTTTGAATTATAGCCTACATATTTAACCCAAACTGCCGTTTTTGTCAGCTTTCAGCCTTAAATTCCACCAAGCAGTTTCACATCAGCTATTCCCACTTCCAGTACTAATGCATAGTCTTCAGGTAAAGCGTTACAGCAGCGTAAACTGCAGCAATAAAATGGTTTTATACCACATCTGTAGTGGCTGACAGGATGACGTGAAAATTGCCTATTTTTTACTGTCTTATATTTTGGTGTAGATGGCTCTGCTATAAAGAACTACAAAAAGTACCGAAGCACACCGTTCTTTCGTACTCCACATTGAAGCAGATGTCCTCAGTTAATAATAACTCTCACTTCCGGAAGGGTAGACAAAGGTCTAAAGTGTTAAAATGTATAAAAACAAGTCAACCAAGAGGGATGTATTCATTATCCTGTCAGTGTGCTAGTTCGCTAGCTGATGTTAGCCATCTAACAAACATCGTTTTTTCATCGTCATAACTACACTGTAGCTATGTACACTACGCATGACCAATAAAAGCCTTGAACCTTGAAACAAGCTAGCTAGTGAACATTAGCTATCTACTTCACAATCACTATCTGTATAGCCAACTATTAGCTCGCAGACGTGAACTAGCTTGTTCGTAGCTAACATTCACTATCTACCTACCTTGATGGACATTGTCAAATTGGTGGCTCTCGTAATTCAAATTATAGTAATTATTTAATAACTTATGGTCAAACTTACAGTACAGACATGTGTAACCTTCGGTATTGAAATAAATTATAAAAACATAATCGACATGCATGTCGATGTTTTTACGGCCACCAGCTCCTCACAGCTCCAACAAGTAAATTCCCAAATATGCATTATTTGGATGAACTTATCACATCTTAAAGGTCACATGTCATGCTTTTCCGGTTATTACCCGTCCCCTTGTGTGTTATGAAGGTTTTTATGCATGTAAACGGTCTGCAGAGTCAAAACCCTCAAAGTACACCATGTAGCGAGTAAACTCTAATACAGAAAACACCTCCCCAAAACGCCTCGTTGGTGAAACGTCATCATCCATCATCAGCCGTTACGTTACGTCCGCGGAGCCGTTACGTTAAGCCCCCGCTGATTGGTCCAAATAGACCAATCCACGGACTTCCTCACACACTCAGTGCATGCAGCTCTGCTGATCTCTCCTCCCTGGCTGCAGGCTGATAACAGACAGTGGGATCGCGGTGAAATTCTCTCTGCAGACCCATTCTCACAGCGTTTATCAACCTTTTTCTTACTCAATATCAAGCCACACTTATTGTTTTTACTTCGGCTGTGACTTTGTGTGTGCTCAGGGTGAGTTTGGCTGTGTTTCGCTGTGTATCGCTAAACAAGGAAATCACACCTCCACGGAGCTTAGCGCGATTCACAACGTCCCGACTGGTCCCGACCAATCGGAGCACACTGGGCTCACAGGGAGGGGGGGGGGGGGGGCAAGAGCTGCAACGAGCCGTTTAGTGGAGAGAGTGAATACACGTAGTTTACAGAGTGCTTCTCAAAGTGTGGTCCGCGGACCACTGGTGGTCCGTGAGCGCCCCCTAGTGGTCCGTGAGTATATTGGTAACATTTCACATTTGAAATTAATTAATTAATTAAAGTTTTCCGCTCTCTCGCGGGAATATCTCCGCAATGGAGCGAGCTTAAGTTTCACTTTCAATTGCATGATATAGCCCAGATAAACACCTTCATCACACATGTGGCCACTTGTTTGTACCATTTTCAGGCGATTTGTAAAAAACAATGTGTTTTTGGATATTTGTGGAGTTAGGTGGTCCGCGAGTGTTTTTTTATTGGTTAAGTGGTCCTTGGCATGAAAAAGTTTGAGAAACACTGCTGTATGCGAAACAATGTGAGTTTGGAAAATTGCACAGTATAAATCTATTCTAGTAGACCTCAACAATGGAATTATGATCAGTGGAAATGGCCATGACATGGGACCTTTAATAATATAAATGGCTACTTTCTGAAAGAAAAATTAAGGTTGATAAAGCTGGCTAAGCTAACAATTGCAGTCTAAACTGCTGTCCCATATCAAAATAAGGCAATGTGAACTCGATTGTACGATCTCATTGCACAAGATTCTCATTGCTTATAGACTCAATAAATTAAACCAAACAATTGCAAAAAGTGTGAATGTTTTCCTTGCAAGGACTGCAACTCTTTACAAACCTCCCTGTTATGTCTGAAACATAATGATTACTGTCCTAAAACAAAGCCACTCTGAATATCCTGCCTCGATAATCCATAACCCTCTGCAGTTATTTACAGAAAATAGCCCAGTGTCCTGTGGTGCTCCTTCTGAGAATGCACCAGGCGCTCCCCTGGGGAGAAAGTCTGTGCCATTGTACATGCAGAGTCAGAGGGGAGCTTTTTTTAAACCTGCAATTTCCATAGAACATGGCTTATTTTTTTGGATGAAAATAAAGGATAACGACATGTGAAAATGTGTATAATCCCATAACAATGCATTGTCTAGGGGTCAATTATTATTAAGGTGTTAAGGAGCAAGGATGCATATTGTGCTTACCAGAGGATGTTGAGCACGGTGCAGGTTGTCAGACCTCCTAGCACTGCCCTCCGAAACCACATGATCTGGACAAAAATAAAACAGTGAGCAACCTCAAGCAGGCATGTCAGTGACGGTTATACACTCTTGGATTTTCACCTTGTCTTTCTATATTTTAGGCAAAATAAAATGTACATCTCTAAAGACAATACCCTCAAAAGAATATCATGTTGGGGATAATCTATTATTTCCATTTATTTTTCTTTATTCAGCAATCGGCAATTGTGTCACCTTGTTTTTTCTTGTTATTTAGGAAAGTGCTTGCTTAAATGTTTGTATTTTAAGTGCATATTATAGAACAGGTATAGGGCAATATCAAAATTAGCCCAAACATTTTTTTATTCACAATGTTTACTGATAATCATCAAAATATGCATGGGTCCAATTCTTAACTTTTCCCTAAAACATTCTAGAATTTCTTTATCTAACACTAAAAAAACATGAATTTTAAAAACATTTGTCAACAATAGATACGTTGTTCCTGTTTTTATTACGATTATCAGATACAAAATGATAAGTATAAATAAATCTATGCTTTCAAATGCATTATTCAGAGATATTAGGCCTGTCAAATCAAAACTGGAGCATGTGAATAAGAGAGAGCTGAGCCCTAACCAGCAGCCCCTCTGACCCAAACCAAACTCTGAGCAGCAGGCGGCTGAGACGGAGCCAACCAGCATGCTGACCAAATGTGCTGCTAAGAACTCATGTTTAAATGAAATAGCAAGCACTGAATTCAAAGTGTGTATGTACTACACTAAGAGGAGAAGGAGATTTACCTGAGTTCTGTTGTGAGAGATTCGTGAGTAGAGCAGCGGCATCACGTTTACAATCCCTCCTGTTAGGACAAAAACACAACTGCAGGTCAATGTGATGATGATGTGTGACAGGTTGAATGCAGCACAATAATCATTTTATTTCGGAAATCTTCATTCTCGTAATCGTTTAACCAACATTGTAGTTCAAAATAAAATTTGAATAATCACCCTGTGCTCGAACCAAACAAAAGAGAATACAAAATGCACTCATGTAATAACAAAAAATAAGTTAATTTGTCATTTTAAAGCAAATAAGACAAACTCTACGAATACAGACTTTACATTTTCCAACATCGACATAATACAATTGAAATGTAACCATTTAACATATAAAATCGCTCATGTTTTCATCATGGGTATCTACAGCATTACTATACTTTAGAGAAGATTGGTATATGATGATGTACATTATATATATGTATAAAGCTTATGTGGGAAACACAAATAAATATCACCCAATGGATGTTATCTACATCTCATCACATTTAACTCCTCAGAGTGATTGTGTCTTGATATTTGTCTATATTGATGTTAAACATGGAGCTGCTGTGATGCAAGTCAAATTTGATCTGACCATTAAAGTATTATCGTATTATCGTATCGTATTTCTGCAGGAGATCCACACATAGACAACTCAACATCACAAAGAGGTCAAAAACTTCACAACAGCCCTTTCAATTGGGACAAAATGTATCGACAGTCATTTAAAAATGACCCCTCTCACAACTAAGAAGAAGTTAAGAAAATGGACACTGCAAATATAGCAAGGTAAAATGCCAAGTGGGTACAGCTCATTAAAAATGTTAATCTTGGGTTTGCTTTCACTCGATGAAGCTCAGTGCAAGTTCTTTCATGAAGTGCAAGGTCTTTCATGAAGACTTTCACCTTTCCTAGTCGGCTTCTCGTCCCCCAAAATCTAGCACAGCACGATGGGGTCTAATCGCCAAAGTTTAATATATATTGCCCTTTGTATACACAGCAATAAATATGTTTATCGCACAAAACAAACTTCAACTGTCAATCATTCCAAACACTCTTTAAACCGAGGAGGAGGGGTAAACTTAAAATATTGTAACGCAATTTCATCACATTACAAAGTTTGACCCAAAGTTGCTCCCACGCGGATGTTCCCCATGAATTGAATGGTTTTGGAAGAGCAAAGGTAGCAGATAAATTGGCAAGAGCTACAAGTATTGCACAGATAGTGCTAGCAATATGAAGAAGAGATAATGTGCATATCAGACTGACACAGTGAGGCGACAATAACATAACTTACAGGGATAATAAATAATAAACATTTTCAATGTACTGTAAAAGGCCTTGTTGACTTTGGAAGGTTCAACATTGCGAAGGTAAGAGGAAACAGAGATTAATATTCCATAGACATCTCAATTCAATTCACTGTCACTCTCTACCACTGTTGTCCAGCAGCGGAGAAGGCATTGTATCATTTCTAAAGGAATTTGAATAAATGCATATTCTGCATTAATCTCATCTCTGCTGGGAAGAAGCTGCGACAGGTAGCTTGATATTTCTGATATCAATATTTACAATTCATATAAGATCCTTTCAAGAAGAGAAATGCTATTTGATCCAAAATATTGCTTTAAAATGTATAATATTAAGGATATAGAGTGATGCAGGGATGACATACTGTATACAAAAAAGCAATGGGATTTTTCCATAGGATTTTGGAAAAATACCTGTTTGATAAATACACGTGTTCAGCCGGATAATATCCACATATCTACCCTACTTTTATAATTTTGTAATCGTAAATCTAATCGCCAGAAGCAAAATGCTAACGTTATGCTATAAACGAACTACAGCCGAGTACAGCAGGGTCTCACGACTTGAACGTCACGCCAATTTAAGATCCATATTCAAAAATACAGATTCTAAATGGTACAAGTTCAAGCGTTTGTTTGAACAGTTTGCAGGAGGCAGGTACTTGCTTTCAAGGAGAACAGGGCAAACAAACTTAGCGGGAGTGTTTACGTGTTCGGTATAATGACGTAAAACGGCCTCGACAACTTCTGTAGTCATATTCAGCCATTTGTTAACAACCACCGTTTTTCAGACACGTAAACTCTTCAAAAATCACCAGTGGGGTCACTGCTGATGGATTTAATGTCGTAGAACAAAACGTGATCCGTCTCTCAGGGGCAGTTCTAGGGAGGGCCAGGGGGGCCAGTGCCCCCTAACACTGACCTCTGACCCCCCTAACAATGAAAAGTGTTTTTTTTTTTTTTTTAAATGTATATTTTCTGGTACTCGGTTTGCCAAAAACCGCAGGATTTTGTTGCTGTAATGTGCGATTGTGCAGACACCCTTATGTAAAGTAGAGATGTAACTGTTCATTGCCTTTATTTTTATATAAATATGGTGTGAGCACTATAACTTAAGCTGAAGCTAACAGTAATAACTATAAGATATATCTGAAATAAATAAGTGTACTGAAACAAATACCAATAACTGTATTGCATTGTTTTCTTATGCGCAATTACTTCATACTGTCTAGTTCTCTTTTTCGTCCTGCATTTATTGTGCCCCCCTCAGAAAATAACTGGCCCCCCAGTCAAATTGGTCTAGAACCGCCACTGCTGTCTCTTCAATTTGTGTCAAACACAGACTTTATTTGGAGCTATTTTCCCAAATCCTATGGAGAAATCCCATTGACTCTGAGACGAGGGAACCGGTAGTGGTAAAATGCTAACTCACTTCAGGGTTTTAGGACTCGTCACTGCACCACTCTATTATGTATTTATTTTGGTTTTCTCACAATGTTTCTTAGCTAACAATAATAGATGGTGACTTAATGAAAAGAGGAAGAAAAAGGTTTGATTAGCAGCATTACATTTGTTATTCAGACAACATTTTAGAGGATTTAATTCCAAATTATGCAAGTTAACTGATGATGGCAGGAAATAGTTCAAATGAAAAAAAAATAGCGCTTTTTTTCCTTATATATTACACCTAAATATGGAAAGGTTATATGTTGTATGTTGTCTCTGAAATAGCGAATTTGCTATACCAATTAAAAGAAAAAAGTCTTATCATATAGACTCTTCCTTCCATAAAATATTTGGCAACATTTGCAAAATATTTGGAAAAATTCTGAATAATTCGTTACAGCTTTGTATGTGGTTTCACTTACATTTTCTCTTAACATGGTCTTCAATATTTGAAAGTCAACTACAAGGCAAACATGCCCATTTAAAGACAAAGGCAAGGCAAGCCAAAGTTATTTATAGAGCATCTTTCAACACAAGGCAATTCAAAGTGCTTTACAAAAATGAAAAAAACATTACCAGCATTAAGAAATAGTGCAGCGGAAACACATTTAAATGGCATTTAAAAACAGTCATTAAAAAGCAAAGATAATAAAATAAACATAAAAAATACATGAATAAAAGTTACAAAAAGAAAAGTCTTCAGCCTGGATTTAAGTAGTAAGAGTTGCAGCGGACCTGCAGGTTTCTGGGAGTTTGTTCCAGATATTTGGAGCATAATAACTGAACGCTGCTTTACCATGTTTAGTTCTGACTCTGGGGACAGAAAGCTGACCAGTCCCTGAAGACCTGAGAGTTCTGGAGATGTATTTTGGGCCTAAACCATTCAAAGCTAAACCAGCAGCAGTATTTTGAAAGAAATTATTTGACAAACAGGAAGCCAGTGTAAAGACTTCAGAACAGGAGTGATGTGGTCCACTTTCTTAGTGTCAGTGAGGACTCGAGCAGCGGCGTTCTGAATTAGCTGCAGCTTCCTAATAGATTTTTTAGTGAGACCTGTGAAGACACCATTACAGTAGTCGAGTCTACTGAAGATAAAAGCATGGACAAGTTGTTCTAAATCCTGCTGTGACATTAGTCTTTTAATCCTAGATATACTCTTTAGGTGATAGTATGCTGACTTAGTAACTGTTTTAATGTGACTGTTGAAACTCAGGTCAGAGTCCATGACTACACCTAGATTTCTGGCTTTATCTGTTGTTTTGAACATTGCAGACTGAAGCTCAGCGCTAACTTTTATACGTTCTGCCTTGGCTCCAAAAACAATCACCTCAGTTTTATCTTTGTTTAATTTAATGAAGTTCTGACACATCCAGTCATTGAATTGTTCAATGCATTATTAATTATTTGTTTGTTTTTCATTATCTGAGCCAGTGGAGGCATGTACATTAGATGTTAAAAAGAAGAGGCCCCAAGATGGAGCCATGAGGAGCCCCACATGTCATATTTGTCAACCCAGATGTGTAGTAACCTATAGAAACAAAGTGTTTCCTGTCCTTTAAGTAGGATTCCAATTTAGAAGTTACAGTTTTGTCTTCTCATTGAATCTAAAACTCAGATTTTGTGTGGCTGGTTTAATGTTTTCCTAATATGGGCATTCAGAGGGCCGAAATGAAAGCACTGTAGAACGAAGGAGCATTTACTGGAAAAATAAATAAATCCGAAGGCCAGAAAGGTGAAAGATGAAGACAGAAAGAAAAAAAAGAAGAAAGTAATATTTATTTTAGAAAGCGGATTCTCACCCAGAGCCACCGTGCCCATAAGGAAAGGTTTCCCCATCTGAGTGAAGTCGCTACTGCTCTGCAGGCCCACCTCTGACCCCACTGCAAATGTCACTGCCACCTGAGACACACACACACACACACACACACACACACACACACACACACACACACACACACACACACACACACACACACACACACACACACACACACACACACACACACACACACACACACACACACACACACACACACACACACACACACACACACACACACAAAGGTGTTCTGTTAAGATTGAGATAAAAGTCGATACACATCATAGTATTTTTCGCAATGGGTGGAAATGACATCCTCTAAAGCAGGGGTGCCCAACCAGTCGATCGACCGGTCGATCGCGGGGAGATTCCCAGTCGATCGCAAGATGTGTCTGAAAATAGAACAACAATATTCGGTTTTATCGTTAAAGAGCAACTTCCAGGTTAAAGACACCTGTGAATAAATGTGTAGGAAAATGATGAATAAACTAGATTTAAAATACAGAAAATACAGAAATATACACTACAGTGACATCTGGCGTCGTTTTTGTAAGAAATGTTCACTTCTGCATAAAAAAGCCTCGGCACGTGACCTCCCGCGTGTGACGTAACAAAGGGTAAACAAGGGGGAGAGCGGCCGGTGTAACATATTAATAAACATGGATCCCAATGCTAGTTTCGACACAGAAGAAGTTGAACATGAATATTCGAATGCATACGACGGACCACAACCTTATAATTATGAGCCTGCTAGGCGTCCAAGAGACCAGGAGCAGCCAAGGATTAGAAGAAATAACAGCCATCGGAGAGAAATTGAGCTGTGGTGTGAGGAGAACCAGTGGAGAACTGGGCAGCTATCTTGGTGAGTGACCGGCGTTAGCTACAGAATGTTACTTGTTGTACATGTTGATGTACAGAAAATAAAAATATGGTTTATTTTAGTAACAGACCGTCATAATCCACACATGGTTATCCATTTATAAAAAAAATATGATTTTTGTATAGACTATAATTATATTTGATATGTTAAAGAGGTTTTTGTGCATGTAAATGGTCTGCATAAACTGAAATCCCAAAGTTCCCTCCAGAGGGAGTTTCTCTCCCACACACTCCCCCCCGCCTGAAACGCCTCCATTGGACTCCATTGTTTACTTGCGTTACATAGTGACACAACTATCTAAAACTAACGCATCTATTGGCTAGTGCTCCAACACATTGAGACTAAGGCTGCAGCCGCACGGAGACGAAATGGGTCGTATCCGCTACAGTTCTCTATCTTATATAGACGGTTTGGCCACACGAGGCCGACAGGGAAACGCAGATAACGATAACGCGTCCCAAGGTGGGTAGATCTGCGGACGGAACACTCTGGGGGGCCAAACGGCTCCGTGTGTACGCCCTATACGATCATTTCCTGATAATGATGACGCAATAGCCCCACCTCTCCCCAACTCTGCTGCTCACTGCTGTAGCATGGTCAGTAGCTAATGTCAGTAGCTACTGCTACTGACATTAGCTACTGACCATGCTACAGATGTTAGTGCAAAAATCTACAGCTCCTCTACCACAACCATCAGCAACAAGTGAACATGGAGAACTACATGAACTACATGTTGCTAAATCCACCGCGGAGAATAAACAGAAGGGCAACCATGGCAACCATGCTCGGGTGGTCTTCTTCGCTGCTTTTGGTGTATTTTGTGGCAGAAGTACAGCGCCACTTACAGGCCCGGCATATGTACTACAGCGTCTCCAGTGGGTCGAGCTGTCTCGTGTGGACGGAAGACTTTTTTGATATCGAATTTGGTTCGTTTTCGTTATCGTCTCCGTGTGGCTCCAGCCTAAGGGGTGGGACATATCTAAGAGGTTGACCAATCACAACAGAGCCGGCCTGCTAACCAATCAGAGGAGACTGGGCTCTGATTTCAGACAGAGGTTGAAAAGAGGTGCTGCAGCACAGGAAGCATGAGAGAATAAAGAGCTTTTTGAACATTAAAGCATGGAGACATGTCACAGTAGCGACACTACATACTGATATGAACCTGAAAATGAGCAGAATATGTATGATTTAATGCAACATGTGTCTAATATTCACAACCTTTTCTGTCCAAAGTGTCAACTGGCTGTTAAAAGGGGGGAACATCTGAATTGAGAAACACTGAATCCACACTGGAAGCTTTTTTGTAACCACTCAGCTACAGAGTACACTGAGGCAGAGAACTGAGTGCTGTATGTGTGCAAACTAAACACAGGAGAGTAACCTTTGTGTTTTAGTGCAACAAAAACACACTGTGCCCTGTTACCTAATGGACAGAGAGATGTGAAAAGTGTAGAAATTCAGATGGCGGCAGATCATTTCACAGCCAATAGTAAGAAACGGAAGTGAAGGAGAAACAGACGAGAGAGGAGGTGAGGGAATAAACTAAATGATACCCAGACATGAGTGTGATCAGAAACAAAAAGCAGGGAGAGGAGAGAGCGCAGAGGAAAGAAGACACAACATTTAACAAGATGAAGGAGTGAGTGCAAGTGGTGAAGAGGAGTGTTGAGTGAGAGCACAGGATGATTGATTCTAATGACTTTCAAGTGAGATACCTGTCTGCCAACTAATGCCTTTTAAATGGACTGAAACATCTGAGAGGCTTCTTTAAAAAATCTTTAAGAAGTTGTCTCATCCTCTCATGACGGGGCAAGTTTCATTAGTGCTCAGAAGGGGAATGGACTGCGTTTTACTTAACTACTCACCGCATGCACGCACGCACACGCACACACACACACGCACACACACACACACACACACACACACATACACACACACACACACACACACACACACACACACACCACACACACACACACACACACACACACGCACACACACACCTGGCTGCATTATCCTCTTTTAAAATGATTTGACCGCCGCGAGCAGGGGCTGCAATATACCCTTGCTGTCATGGGAGCAGGCAGCATTAAAGGTTCAATGACAACTTTATTAGAGGTGAGGGTCCGGAGTCTTAACCAATTATAAAGCCTGAATAAATGTCACGCTAATTATTTCCAGAAAGCCGTGAAATTGTAGTCGATTCTCCGTGAATAATCTACCTTCCAACACAATTCCACAGTTGGCTGAATAAGATTCATTTAAAAAGTGTGTGCGTGTGGGTATGTCTTTGTGTTTGTGTGTGTGTCCTCAACGTTTCTATGTGTTTGATGGTACATCTAAAGCATCATTTAGGCCTATTTCACAATGACTGAATGGAGCTCTGATCATGGTGTATCAACTTAATTTAGACATCACTGTTATTCAATTTTCTGGCATGTTTCTATATGAAGCAATCAGTCAGATGTCAGAGAGGAAGAGGAGAAGAAGAGGAGAGGAAAATAAGTGAGGAGAAGAGAGGAGACGAAGTGAGGAAGAGAGATGGGGGAGAAGCAGGTGTGATTTTCGCTTTACTAAGCATGTGTATGCCAACTAGAATGACCAGTTACAGTTGTAAAAATAAAATCATAGTTCCTGAGTTATGGCCGAATACAATGGTTTTATGATGTCATAGAGACTCTAACCACACATCCACGGTCTCCAAAACAAAAACACTATCCAAAAGATACCTGATGCTTAATGTGATCTTTGCGTTATTATTTTTGATTTACATGTATATTAAATTCTTCTTAGATTTTTATAAGCTTTAAAAGAATGGCATTGGCAACCGTTTAAGTCCTGAATATTGTTTGCCCGTACTCACTTTTCAGGGCAGTGAGCTCAGCATAATAACTGAGAACAAAAAGGGAACATTATTCTGAGAAATTTCTGCCTGAATAGAAACCTCAAATAATAAAAGAGGACATATTATGCTCACTTTCAGGTTCATATTTGTATTCTGTGTCTCTACTGTGTCCATACTTTAATGTTCAAAAAGCTCTTTATTTTCCTCATACTGCCTGTGCTGCAGCACCTCTTTTCACCCTCTGTCTGAAACCAGAGCCCAGTCTGCTCTGATTGGTTAGCTGGTGGGCTCTGTTGTGATTGGTTAACCACTGTGTCTGAATGTCCTGCCCCTTAGCCTATCACATACAATATGTTGGAGCGCTGGCCAAAAGGAAAGTGTAGTGTAATTATAGTGGGAGAGAAACTCCCTCTGGTGGGAACTTTTGGATTTTAACCTTTGCAGACCATTTACATGCACAAAAACCTATAGAACACACTACAGGAAAGAAAAACCTTCAAAAGCATAACAGAGCCTCTTTATAAACTGTGGAGTTAATGAAAAAAATATGTCCTTCCACCCCCAGCGGAAATGTTGGCCTTGGCCTGATTTATACTGTGCTGTACTTATCTTTAAATGAAAAGATTAATTTGACTCTTGTATTAAGTATGGAACCAGAGCCAGGAAGTAATTACAGCAGCTTAGCTTAGCATAAGGACAGGAAGCAGGGGACCAACCAACTTTGTTCCGTCCAAAGTTTTAAAATGAGCCAGATATTCGGTGTTCATTGGTGAGCTTTAAAATATTTGCCATTTTTAATATTATGCAAGGCAGCTGTTCCTCACTGAATCAGGTATTTTTTCTAAGCTTTCCTACTCCCCAGCTGCATACCTAATGGGCAGATATTAGCGGGAAGGATGGATATGTAGGCGGCGTGTGGAGCAGTGGATAGACCCTTGATGTTCGGATCAGGGGGTCACAGGTTCAAACCCCACTGCAGTCAGCATGTCGTTGTGTCCCTGGGCAAGACACTTCACCCCAAATTGCTCCTGTGGGGATCGCACACAGTATTGAGTATGTAAGTCGCTTTGGATAAAAGCGTCTAACAAGTGACATGTAATGTAATTTAATATGTGGGAAAGAAGCATAACACACAAGTTAAAACTATTTTACAAAATATAAACATATATGTGTCAGTCAGGTCAGAAGTTGAGTTTGAACGTATAGTTAATTCACTCCCAAAGGCCCGGCACACCCATGGGCCACACACCCACAGCTCTAATCAACCAGCCTCAGTATTTTTTTTGGTCTTCAATACTTCTTAGTTATTTGGTTTCAATAGTTTTTTCTATAATTCTAGAAATAGTTTTTCAATA